AAAAGCTAATGCTAAATGTTTGAGGTATAATTTTCTCCTTCTTCTGCTTGCTGGTATAAATCAGAAACCTCAGCCTAAAAGGGGCAAATAAATGTAGACAATTCCCATTTAGTGGCATTAGAGGACACCAGCAAAGTGGTCTTCTATCAATATTCGCCGAGATACCGAGAAATTTAGTCGGCTAGGATTACAAAAAAAAAACAACTAAAAGACGCTTATTGTATTTCTTGTCTCCTGGATACACTGTCATGTTGGGAAAACGCATTTCTCTAACCAACTCAAACAGCGCTGGTACCCTGAGCTTGTTGACTTTTTATTTTTTTATTTTTTTATTTTTATTTTTTATGACCAGACAGTCATACTGCGCGGAATTAAAAGTTCCGCCTTCTCGCCGGTTTAGTCCTCCTGCCGGACAAATGTTTGCACAAGTACAATTCCCACACGTTTAATCGCAAGGCCTTCTCGCTTATTAACATGTTGAGCCTTGTTTATGTGTGTGTTTGTGCGTGCGCATGCCTGCGCTCTCATTGAGGAAGCCCAGGGGAGCGCCGTCGCGATTAACTGGGCCACTTGGATCGGCCATGCGCGGCTAATGAGATTGAACGTGTCAAAGGAACAAGTGTCGGAAGGACTGCTGACCACATGCTTGACATGCACACGCAGACCCTTGCCATGGCAGATTTAAATAAAAACCACCACGCCGTGCGTGTGAAAATGGGACTTAGCCATAACAGCTTCAAAGCCCTTTTGATGGCACGCTGGCTTTTATTCAGGAAAGTGGCATCTCTAATGTTGCCATGGCGACATCAGATCACCTGTTTTGGAGGGCTTTATGACTGATGGTGCAACAAGGACACATCTTGTGTTCGGGCTCGTAAATATTCTTCGTATTAGGGATGGACAAAGTGATTGAGTCATTGATGAGTTGATCGTTAAGAAATAGGTTGATTGCGTGAATTTGATTGTCGATTAGTCATGCCTTGAAGCGACTGAGGAAAAACGGAGTGCCCTGAACTGGTTTGCTTCTCAAGAATGAGGTGATGCTGCTTCTTCTATCTGCAGTTATTTAACTCATTCAATCCCAGCCATTTTCACTGGAGCAACCCCCTCAATCCCAGCGTTTACTGGATTTTGACTGATCTTGCAAAGCCCACAGAATGTTTGGTTCTAATGCTATATAAACATGGAGCCTACCAAAATAAAGTTTGGACTCTCTTCTTTCAGCAGAAAAAAAAATCTTTTTCCATTCTTCAGCAATTGCCATTACAAAATGGCTAAGTTTCATGAAAATGGCGATTCCTGGGCAAAAAACGGAGAAGAATAGTTTTTTTTGTAAAAAACATGCATTTCAAGCACGTGAGGCACCACTGCCACCTACTGGTCACTTTTTTACATGATTTACAATGCAAACGGCTTATTCTCATTCACAGATTGCATCAGACCCTCCTCCTCTCTATGACACAAAAAAAAAGACGTCCTTGGTAGGCGGGGCCTAATTTTAAAAAGATGTACAAGTACGTTTTGTGGAATGATAGTTAATTGAGAAAACTGCACTGTTCTTGGTTGTTGAAGCGCCTTTAACCCTAATTGTTCCTTTCGTTCCATTTCGATTATGGACAAGAACAGTCCAGTCCTCTCAATTTCAGCTTTTGCAGGTTACAATGACTTTGGGTGGCGGAGAATCTAACAAGTTTTGTACGGTACGGTTTTGCTTCTTTGCCTTACCCTCTTTTTGGGGCATCACAAACACTGCTGTAAAATCCCTGACGTCGTTCATTCCTGACTTTCCGTCGGTTTCTTTAAATTACCCTGAAACGTTAATTTGGTCTATACTTTGCTGCTTAATCACCACCGTCGCTCCATGCGGCCTCACTTTATGGCTCTCGGAGCTTATATGGCTGCATCGACTCGCCTCGTTCAAAGTCCAATGAGCAGCGCAAAAAAAAAAAAAAAAATGCCGGCATTTTTGGAGCCAATTCAATTTAACAGCCAGTGAGCACCCCATACCTCCAAATAAGCACTTTCCAAATGGATTGCATTGCATTAAAAAGAAGGTAGAAAACGAATCGCGTCGCACACTCGCGTTGAGCTTTTGGTTGTCAAGGCCGCTGCTCGTCATTGTGTTGACTGCCTGCCGTACTGTGCACAGTCACAGTCTACAGGAAGCAGGAGAAGGAAGAGGGCATAGAGGATGTGAAAGAGTTCATGTTCGCCCCTTTTGTGAGTTCAAATCAGCCATCAAAAAAGAAGGAGGGGGAAAAAAAAATGCACTTTTTATGCAGGGTCTTGCCACATGCAAGAACTTTTGCCAAATTGATTGTGTGGTGTTTATTTCTCCCCAAAAAAGTTTCTCTTTTTAGCGTTGGTGTTACAACGTTGTACGTCATGAAAGGACCACCGCGCTCATTTGAATGTCTTGAATGGATTTCCAGGTTAATTTAGTGATCACGGTTTTATGTTTGTGCCCGGAGGAAAGGGCTTGAGTGACGTCCCTCGTAGGCCTGGATTTAATGAATTTTCAGCTCAGGGTTGGAATGATTTCTGTTTTTCTTATCCAGAAAGCTTGCAGTAAAAGTGGAATTGTGGAATTTGTGGAATTCATCAGGAAGGAGGCGTTCTTGGCGCAAAACGGGAGCAGAATTCCAGGAGATGTTGCTCTTTGTGCTTCTTATATAAGAAAGCAATTTTACATGTTTTAAATCACATTTCTGGGTGAAAAGTGTCAAAGATGCAATTCATCTTTAAGGGTGGGGCATTTTTTTCGACTGCAAATGGACCACATTTATCACCCCTCCACTACAAAACTAATGCAGTCCAGCTTTCATTATCATGCCAAAAGGGGCGGAGCTAGGAGGTTCCGATGAGGCTAACCGCCACTATCAGCCCCAACGTGTGAAGAAAAACGCAACCACCCATGAAACCGTTGATTGAACCTTTGATTGCATTTTCGTTTGTTGGGGCACCACATCATTCAGCCACCAAACTGCATTTGTTACTTCGTGTAGCGAACTGTGCATGCGATGCATGCAGTGGGCACGTCGGCAAAGACGATTAGCATGGCTTACCACCCTAAATGTGTACGTTAAGAATGTAATCAATTCAAGTCAAATTGATTGTTGATTAATTGTCGTGAAGCAGCTGTGTCAACAATGGTACCTCACGGCTTGGTTGCAGACAGTAGATGCGCTTTTTATTCAGAGTTTGCCATCCAAAGAAGTACAGTGCCACATCAGTTAATTAGCAAAATATCACTCGTACAAGTGGGACCGATGCAGTAAACTGCAGTAATCCTGAATATTCATGCACAGAGTGACGTTTCCTGGGGATAGTTGGACATGTAGCAGCGCATGAGTCACCCTCTCAAGATGAGCCCCACAAAGAGTAAACAACTCCGCTGTTGTCCCAAATGTGAAGAGGCAGCAAAGCGGCAAAGTCGCCGCTAAAATGCCGTGAGTCAGCAAACTGCGATGTACCGTTGCGTCTCTCTCTCTCGGGGTGGTCGCAGCACGACGAATTTCAGCTGATCTAAATGTGACCGGACAACACATCTTTGGTGTCTGCCCTATGTATTATTATTGTTATTATTTTAACATTAAAAAATCATCATGTCACTGTCGCAATGAAAACGTTTATCAATTTATCTTGGTTGGCCCAATGTTAGGTACAGCAGCTCGAAAGACATGCAATACAAAAGCGTCTTTAAAAATTCTGCTTTTATGGACACGAACACTCAATTTTGACTGACAGGGGGAACAGTTCAAGAAAGAACTCTTCGTAGGACGCAATGCAGTTCTGCGTCATTGCCAAACTAACCACAGTAATAAAAAAAAAGTCACTCCGTGCTCCTTTCTGTGATGGTTGCACCATCAGATGGGAATTAAATTCAAGAAAAGAGCCAAAGCACCTTCCAAAAATGTGACTCATGGCAAGCCAACAGGAGCGGGAACAAACCAGGAAGTACGAGAAACTTACCCAAATCAAAGTAGTAAACACCTCTTCTGCTCAGTAAATCCACATGACCCCTGGCGATCTTCTGGAACTGTTAGGGTAATGAATCACAGGTTAATGCTGGACAAAAGTAGTTAGGACACCCCCGGAGTGTTTCAGCTTTGTCCATTTGATTTTATACTCTCTTACTTTGCTTCTCACATTCTTCATCTTCCATCTGCCGAAAAGAGTGTCGCTAAAAGTCACAAAAGTCAAAACGGTAACATAGCCTGCTCTGCATTAAAACAATGCGAAGAAAGGAGGAGTGGGTGGTGGGGAAAGGGCAGTAAAACAGGCCTACGAGGGGTTTAACTTAATGCAAGAGTATAAAAATGAAGTCAGGATTTAAACATTTCGACTGAGCTTACAGCGCTATTCATTTTTTTGTAGACTTTCTGAAATGCCACAAGATGGGCCTGAGCCTTGGGTAGTAGGAAAGTAGTAATTGGTGTCAAGGATGCATCTCAACTGAGAGACAAGTTTTGTATGTCGGACAGGACAGACGTTTAGCCTGGGTCGTTAGTGGAAGTAAATTTTAAATTAATGTCTATAATGACTTAGAAGTGATGTCAGTTTTAGCTCAAACTCTAAACTTAATGAGCTTCAAGATGAAATTGGATAACGGTTCTGCTTATCTATGCTCAAGGTTTGCCACCTGTTTGTGCTCTGCGAACATATCAACATCACCTGCTGTTTTTTTTTTTGTTTTTTTTCTTCCTCTCTCTGTGCATAACAGCACATTGATTACGCATTGTACCGCAGATCACTTGCAAGACGGGACACGAAGGACGCACATTTGTGTCGGTTGTAGATTATTAGCGGCGGAGGAGCGAAGTGTCACGGCGGACTCGTGCCGCCCACGTCGTCTTGCAAATGTTCTCCCTCTCGTGTTCTTTCTTTTGTCTGCCTCCTTTATATATGCATGTGCACGCTCTGTGCACTACCCCCCCCCCTCACACGTTACCACCCACACACGCGCATCTTTGATTTTCTTCACTCTGCTCTTTTGACAGAATGGCCAGAGCACTGCTGAGGATGGAGTAGCACCTGCTGTCAAGGTAAGAACATGCCCACACACGCACCACGCTCCACTAATTAAATGTGCATGTCAACACCCACCTAATTAGACATTTGGACTGCTGCATTTAATTCTTACTTGGACAGCTAGTACTTTTTTTTTAAACCTTGTGTTTATATCTATACAGTAATCCTTCACAACTATTATGAAGTCAATGGTTGTATTGAGTGTTTCATTCAACATATTAACAAGGACAAAGAGAAGTCGTTCCAACCAAAGAGCTAACAGCTAAGCCAACACTTAGCCAACACTCATCTTCTGTATTTCACGCTGCCTCTCAAAGGTGAGTCTTGGCATTACGACAGACATCTGGAGGAGACTTGTAATTGTTAGTAGAGATGTTATTGCGTGTGCAATGTGCTCTGCTGGTCATCTTGGTCATCTTGAGTACACCGGTAAGAACATAATTGCAGATTTTTTTTTCCCCCTCCGTTGTGGGGTCTATTCATGTTTTTGTAGACTTTTTTTCCCCGTTTTGGGGTCGCTCATAAAAATGTGTATGTGTGTGCTTGAGGTTTTATTTTTAGTTGCAGATTTTTTTTCCCCTCCGTTGTGGGGTCTATTCATGTTTTTGTCGACTTTTTTTCCCCGTTTTGGGGTCGCTCATAAAATGTGTATGTGTGTGCTTGAGGTTTTATTTTTACCTGCCTCAAATAGATCATTTGCACACGTGCGTACGCTATCCCCCCTGTTGGCTCATAAAAACTTTCTTTGTCTTTATTAGTCATTCATTGCACTGAAATAAAAACTACAAATACAGTGGTGTCTTGAGATATAAGTGATACGACGTGAGTTTTTGGAGATACAAAGTGAGGTTCTGAGACTCTCAACATACAGTATATCTGTAGGTCTGTTATACTGCCTCCAGGTGGGCAAGGTATGCACGCCAGAAGGAGCAGGACAACGTTATTTGAATTGAAGCAAAAAAAATTTTGCCCAAACTTTTTAAATTTCTTTACACTACATTTAATTTGTCATGACTGTATGTTTCTATGAAGTGCAATATTATAGAGGGCTGTTTTTCTTGTAAACACACAGAACAAGATGCTGGAATGGAATATGGCAGTGCCATTCATTTCAGTGGGGAAAGTTAGTTTGAGATATGATTGGTCTGAGTTTCGAGTGTGGTCATGGTAAGAATTAAACTCATATCTTCAGGCCCCACTTGACATGAACTCTATACCAAAAATGCTTGCGTGCACAATCAAGCAGCAACGTTAATCAACTGTGCAATATTATAGAGGGCTGTTTTTCTTGTAAACACACAGAACAAGATGCTGGAATGGAATATGGCAGTGCCATTCATTTCAGTGGGGAAAGTTAGTTTGAGATATGATTAGTCTGAGTTTCGAGCGTGGTCACTGTAAGAATTAAACGCCCCACTCTACATGAACTCTGTACCAAAAATACTTGCGTGCACAATCAAGCAGCAACGTTAATCAACTTTAACTTGGCTAAATGTGGTCCATTAAATGTTAGTTGAATATTTGGTGGAGCCCGAAATTAGGCAGAGATGGCTGTGTCCAAATTTGCCATGCAAGAAAACCCCTGATGGGGTTAATTTCTACTAAAGGCTCAATCGTGTTGCAGTGTTACATCAGAGTCACTGCAGTGAAAAGTTGTAGCTCCTGCTTTGTGTCCTCAGCTGTCCTGTTAGCGTACGATCACATCACAAACGTGCACAAGCTTGCACAGTGCTTGTCAAGAATGGATGAGTCAGCCCTTTTTTTTTTTTTTTTTTTTCTCCCCTTCTCCCCGGCCTCCATTATTGTCTGGCCCTTTGGAACAAGATCCTATTTCCTCCTGTGTTATTCTGCAGGGGCACCGTGTTCATATTCGCTTTTTGTGTCCAGTCCTTGTGAACTGAATGGAGTTTGGGAGGGTGTGTGAAGCTCGTCTAGCATCCTTTCACTTTGTCCTGACATGCTATGATTGAGCTCAGCACACGGCGAAATGCGTTCTAATCATTATACGGCACACACACGTTGATCACATCTGATGCCTGACTTTCAATATGCTCTCCAGTAGAGCAACACCCCATCAGCAGTATTAAATTATCGCCAGGTACTGCTGGAATCATGCCTAATTGATTGGACAACACTTGGACCTGTAATTTGTTCTGCTTTACTTGATCAGAATCTTGCATTCGATACTACTATAAGGAGATTGACATTCAACAATGTAATGAGATTGTTTCTCAGCCAGGCCATTGACGCAGCCTTTGAAAGGATTAATTAGCAGAACTGGACCATGGAATTGGTTTCTATACGGGCTGATTGGCAAGCTAACACGATGTAGTAAATTAATCTGATCGGCTTGTAAAAGTTGTGACATGTACAGTGGTGGGAAAAGAACACGCATGTAGAAGCATATAAAATGTTTGTATGAAATGTTTGTATGAAATTAAGAAATAATTCTTTCAATCAAACTTTGTGATGAGATTAGATTTTTTTTTTTAATGATGGCACAGGACAACACATTCGCCACAAATCACTCCCGAATCTGACATCAAACAATTTGCATAAATAAGGCCATGGATGGGGAATATCTTGCTTCTCCAAATCTTTTGCTCCATCCTCACTAAGGCACCCTGCCTCACGTCGCTCCAGGTTGTTGTTGTCCTGTTTTTTTTCCCTCCTCATATTCCCCATGCTCTCAATCAATTAGTCAGTCAATCAACCAACCAATCAATTCGTCACTTTTGACTTTAACTTTCTCAAAATGCATCTTTTTTTTTTTTTTACATTGTTCTCTGTGGATGTTGAAAAAAGTAACAAGCCTATTTTGATAAAGTAAAGAGTACAAACAGATACTGTGTTCAAATGGAGGCAGTAAAGGTAAAAAAAATAAATAAAAAAAAGTCTTCAGAAGTTTCATTCCTGCTAATGCGTTCAACGCGGCGTGCTTGCTGCAGTTTCCTGCGACCATTGAGCCAAAGCTATTTTTCATGTCACGCAAGGGCAAAATGTCCTGCTCTCGAGCCGCAAGGTGCTGCGTTATGTGCTCACCGGCTTGTGGCTGACTGTCCTTTTGCTGTTTATTTGTCTGGTTGGCTGCTAAGCCGACGTGAATGCGCTGTGGGGATTTTAGAGCCTTTTCTCTGAACACCGCAGCACTGCAAGCAGTCATAAAAGCAAATCAAGCAATACAATTGTGGCCAATTCGCTGATGAGTTTAGGAGTATGTTCTTTAGCATTGCCGTTATTAGACACATGAATTAGAAGCACTTTAAGGATGACACCAGGATCTCTTTTTTTTTTTTTTAACTTCACGTGCATCTGGCTCAGGTCATATTTGGCCTCAACAAGCAGTCTGTGCCAAGGTGTTTTGATGTAGGGATCATCAGGAGAGTTATCACCCAGTTTTCTCCCGAGTCATGTTGTGAGGGAGTCCCTCACAACTGTAGAAGTCCTTTAATTTATTGTAATAAATTGTGAACGAGAACTCTTAAAAAAAACTGAAATGTTGTCACTGTGCAGTGATGTAGTATCCTTTTTTTGTTTGGGAGCAATTTCTCATCACATAAAATGCTGTACAGTGCCTTGTCAAACACGATCCATTCAGGAACCCAGATGAACCTGTGGATTTGGACGCAGTTATTCCGTGAGAAAATTATCACCATTCTAAGTGTTGGGGTTTGAAGCTCTGCTTCGGCTTTCGTTTTTGTGCAGTTTAGCATTTTCTCCCTGTGCTTGTGTGGGCTTTCTCCATGTACCACCCTCCTTCAGGTCATATTTGGCTTCAACAAGCAGTCTGTGCCGAGGTGTTTTGATGTAGGGATCATCAGGAGAGTTATCACCCAGTTTTCTCCCGAGTCATGTTGTGAGGGACTCTCTCCCTCACAACTGTAGAAGTCCTTTAATTTATAGTAACAAATTGTGAACGAGAACTCTTAAAAAAACTGAAATGTTGTCATTGTGCAGTGATGTAGTATCCTTTTTTTGTTTGGGAGCAATTTCTCATCATATAAAATGCTGTACAGTGAGTGCCTTGTCAAACACGATCTATTCAGGAACCCACATGAACCTGTGGATTTGGACGCAGTTATTCCGTGAGAAAATTATCACCATTCTAAGTGTTGGGGTTTGAAGCTCTGCTTCGGCTTTCGTTTTTGTGCAATTTAGCATTTTCTCCCTGTGCTTGTGTGGGCTTTCTCCATGTACCACCCTCCGAAAACATGCATGTTAGATTCTTTCCAGAACCCTTCATCCCAAAAATTTGAAAAAGGAGGTTGCGTCATCATATGGAAATTGGTTTGTCCATCCGTTTTTTTGTAGCATTTGTTCATGTTCACAAGCGAACTGGAGCCTATCCCAGCTTCCTTTGGGCAAGAGGCCCGATACCCCCTTGACTGTTTGCCAGCCAATCGCAGGACATATACTGTTTAGGCGACCATTCATACCTGTGCTCAGTTGGAAGACGTAAATAAAGTTAACATGTTTTTGAAATATGGGATTAACCCGGAGTACCCGGGGGAAAACCCACACAAGCCTCGAGAGAACATGCAAAGTATACACTGGAAAGTCGGTGCCAATATTTGAAACTAAACCTCTGGGTTCAAGCATTAGGCCAGGTTGGTTTGAAAAAAGTTGAGAAACTTTCACCATTTTTAAAATTGCATTAAATGTCTTCAGATCATGTTGTCGTTGGGTTGGTATAGTGTGCTTATAGATCGGCTGAATAGCTAAAAGTAAGAACAACGGATCCAGATTCATCCAGATTTTTGCCCCCCTTCCGGAGCCAAGTGGACAAAATGTCTCAACCTTAGTCAAAGTTTACTCATTGGTGTTTTTTTTGATGGTGATAAATGTTTAAACCTTTTGTGAAGCTCTTGTAAGTGTTGGTGAAACGACCTTGACGTTATCACAACGGAATGGAAATGGTTTTCCGTCACTGCCTTAAACGGTGCCAGTGAATGGATGCCACCAATAGACCACAAGCACAATTTGGCCTACGCTTAATTTTATGTTTTAATGCAGG